CTGCCCCAACTTCACCCACCCTGTTGGTGTCAAGTTAGATTGCGTATTGGTTTCATTAATATTTTGTAGTAGCAGATGCAGAGTAGGTACATAGAGTTGGAGTTACTCTAGGCTTTTCGTTTCATTTATTGATATATTTAATATGTAGTTGATTTAAAATGTGCCAGAATGTCAAGTTTCTTACAATGTCAGTGTTGACTTTTTTGCCTTTAGAGTAAAAAGAATAAAAAAAGAGAGGGAAAACACAGCATGAGTGAGCTACACAGCAGTGTATAAGACCGAGAAACTACATAGCCGAGCCAACCGAGCTTAGAATGCGCTATGGCACTGTAGTGATGAATTACTGCAAAACAATACACAAATATGAAGTACTGCTTGATTCTCATCACTTGATTAATTAAAAGCACTGATTTATTCAAAGTGGCAGTTGGTGCAGTAACTGCGAGGTGATTTTAGTATATATATCTTTTTATTGTATGAATCTGAATAACGGCACTCTGCTGGTAATGAAGAAGGCGATGACGATCGTTGGCTGTAGTAGTAGCTCGCGCACGTCGCTCGCCATTAGCCAGACCTGGCTGATAAAGCATATTTTGCCAAGCTGCGTCTGAACCTTTCTCGACGTACAACACCTCTATTTTAAGTGGTAAAGGTGCCGGGGTACCCATCAACCTTGAATTTCGCAATCGGACGCTACCTTCACCATTCAACATGACTGCTCCTGGCCCTTCTCAAGCTGCCTTACCAACGACAGTCTACTGTACTGGCGTGCGTCGGCAACGCGACCCACCAATTTTTGTGGCAACGACGAACAAGACGTCGAGGACTGGCTCGTCGAGTACAAATTCGTAAGCGCTTCCAACAAGTGGAACGCCTGCGACCAGCTCACAAACGTGCGCTCTTACCTCGCTGATGTTGCCAGCCTCTGGTTCAAGATTCACGAAGGCGAAATCACCAACTGGTCCGCTTTCAAGACCACCATCGCCGCGGTCTTCGGTCATCCCGCCGTGCGCCGGCTTCGCGCGGAACAGCGTCTCCGTAGTTGAGTCCAGCGCAGAGACGAGACCTTTACAAGTTACATTGAAGATGTCTTGTCTCTTTGCAAGCGCGTCGATGAACCTCTGACCGAACGCGACAAAATCAAGCACATCATCAAAAGAGTTGACGACGATACCTTCGAGATGCTCGTCGCTAGGAATCCACAGACCGTCACCGATGTTGTCCAGCTTTGTCAGGAGTATGATGAGTTACGTAAGCAGCGTGTCTTGACGTGCAGGGCCGCTGTAGATATGGCTGAAGTTTCCGCCCTCGTGCACGACGTCCCTGCTGATCACACTGTCTTACTGCCCCACATCAAGCAATTGATTCGTGAAGAAGTTGCCCGTCAGCTTTCTCTTGTGGCCGAAGCATTTGAGCCAGTGACCTCGTTAGACCCAAGTCTATGCCAGGTCATTGAGACACAGGTCACGCAGGCACTGCCTTCATCCCCAACATAAAATAGAGGTGTTGTACATCGAGAAAGGTTCAGACGCAGCTTGGCAAAATGAGCTTTTATCAGACAGGTCTGGCTAATAGCGAGCGGTGTGCGTGAGCCACTACTACAGTCACCGATCATCATCGTCTTCTTCATTACCAGCAGTGCGTCTGTTATTCAGATTCATTACAGTATATAGAAAACACCGAATGTATATATGACATAGAATGTTGGATATGCACTGTCAAAAGTTGCAACCACTGCACTTCCACGACATGCTGAAAACCACCAGTGTCATTGTACAACTCTCGATTTTACACAATTGTTCACTAGATGCTTCAAGAAAAAAAATAAGCATGCTTTTATAACAGCAGCATATCTGACAGTGGAATTGGCATGCCGTCGAATTTCTAGCTTTAAGGCCTCATTCGACTAAATTCCACTGTCTTAAATCTGTTCTGAATTTCCTTGAGGTTAACGTAGCTCTGAAGTGTATGCAACCTTCAGGGCTACATTTATTACGGTTTCACCACTCCTGCGCGTGCCGTACAATTGCAGTGCCACGGCCACTCCGATTCCCCGTCGTGGGCGAGGGCGCCCCTAGAGGTTGCTCCTGTCTGTATATCAAATTTTTGTCGGAGCTTCATGACCAGCAAAAGTATTCAAGGGCTCTGATATTACTACATTTTGTAGAATACACCCACAAACTCGGTGATTGTGTACAAGTGTGGTATCAAGGTGCCCTGAGCTATTGCTGCTTCATTGGGCAAATGCGCATCTAAATTTATAAGGAAGATGAAGAGTCATCAACTGGAGGTTTACTACCAAATCTATGCTTGCATAGTTGGAAGTGTAAATGTACAAAGCACACTTTGCTTGGCTGATTGGTCCATGGTCTTGTAAAAGCCATAAAAGTAGGGCTGTTTTTGCGTGAATAAATATTGAGGGAGCGGGTCGAAGGGAGCATAAACTTTTTACTGTTTATTCATCTTATACTGCAATGAAGTATATACTATATGCACAGAAATGTGCAGCAAGCTGGGCACACATCGAGCGCATACTACTCTTATAACAACCTGTGGTATGAAAACTTGCTTTCCACCTGGGAGAGAAACAGGAATGTATCACTGATACGTAAGGAACCCCATGCTTTTATATGAAATGCCTAAAAGATTTAATGAACCGTGATGTCCCTGCTGTTAATGAAAGTGTGAACCTTATTCAGCCACAGCTCACACTGTGAATTACAGCGGCTCGCCAATGTGGACATGTTCGATGTCCTTTATTGAAAGCCTTTGTTCCAGCGCTCTGTCATTCATGCATCTTCCCACCTGACTGACACGCGTCTTGCCGGAAGATAGCAAAAATGCGTGAGCACTGGTGCTAAAGTTTGCACACCATTCGGTGTGCTTTTCATCACAACCATTTTTGTTGCTCCCATGAGATAGTATAGGTGAGCGTAGCTGAGACAGCTACCCCGGCCCAGAAAGGACAATTGACATGCTGTGTCTGCTTGCAACCTCTTTTTTTTTTAGGTTATGTGCAATCCGGTGCATCTAAGGCACGAGCTGAGGCCTCATCTTTATCCACTCCAGTTTTACCCAAGTTCCGTGCCGTTCACTTTGGAACTTCTGGAAGAACGACTTGGCGATGACGATAAGGAGCATGTGAGGGAGCCAATTTGATTTCTAATCAATTCAATTAGTAGCTTTCTGTATGCTGTTTGAGCATTACTTTTCAAGTGCAGACTGATGGTTATGTTGAGCTGAATTCCTTTTTACTGTTGCTAAATGCGATGTCTTGTAAGGCAGCAATCTTTTTGTAGACCTAGGTAATGCTAACAGGTGTCACGGCTCTGTAAGGCAATGTGTAAGCTTATAAATTTCAACTAGCCGCAACCCGGCAACTCGTGTGCGAACACCAATCTCTTCGAGAGGCAGCAAAAGGCCACAAAAGCATTGTTAATAGTGTAATATGTAGGGGTGGTCGATTCCTCTGCAATAAAATAAATGTCAATATAGCTGAAAACATTCGCATTTTCGCACCATTAAAATGGCATTGCGAGGCATAGTTAATAGAAATAAGAACAAACTGCACACCATATGAGACACAAATATCCTATGCTAATGCTTTGTCTTTGGATATGAGAATCTACGTTGGAACTGATCGACTTTCTCTAAAAGCTCGAGAAACTACAATCATGTCTGCGACATTCGGAAAAGCAACACCACCATTTTATTTAGGCAACTTCTTGCGCAGGAAAACAGTTCATTGTACGGAGCAGATTAAGAGGAGGCGCGGGTCAAAAAGTCGCGGTTTTTCTGAATAGAATCACTTTTTTGATTGACTTTATATTGTCATGTTTGGTATATGAACCTTTATTTCTGTAAATATCAAGCTGCAGTTTGCACGAGAAGTCACCCTAAAGTGCGCCTAAGTGAGCGCCGGTGACACCAGAATTCAACAAAAGTCGCAAAAGTTCGCGCCGTTTGCATTGTTGCGACGCGCGCGGTCCGGCAGCGCCGCCCGCCATTCGCAATCATTGGGACGTGCAGAGTCACCCCTCTTCTCCAAGATTCTATGACCGCTTGTCTCTTATGTTCTCAAAGAATGAAAGAAAAACAAGAAAAAAGTCGCGACCGTAACGTGTTTTTAATTGCGCGCCAACCAGCCCGGCGCCGCCATTTGACAGCGGCGCTCTTTACCTGTAGAGAAGCCGCAGCGCGTGCTTGCTAGCAGCAGTTTTCGATGTTAACTCCGCGTTTTCTTGAGATGACAAGCCCGAAAAAGAGCAGTTCAGACGTCCGAAAATACAGAACTTCGCACAAGTACCGAGGAAAACGCCGTAAAGCGCTCCTAAGAACGACAGCCGCGAACGACGCTCCCGATGCTCCGGTTAGGCCTACTGCTGACATCGGTCACCACGACATCGGCAACCACGACGCTTTTGAAATCGACGCTGCTGTGGAGTTCGTCAGCGCATCAGAGAAGAAGATGGAATTCTTCAAAAGTGAGGCACGGTCGACTGGTGCTTATGCTGCTAGCACGTTGCTGTGCAAGATCGGCGCATTCACAGCAATGATGGCAGGCTCGGCATGCTCCGCTTGCCGCGAACGGAAACTCGCCGTCCGAGAAGTAGCCAAGAAACGCAAAGGACTTTCTTCCTTCTTAGAGCTACGTTGCGACAATGCTGAGTGCCCGGAGTCTGTGCTTTCGTGTACTCATACATCGAAGTGGATCAACTCGGCCGGCGAGTGCGGTGACCCCAGCACGAACATTCGCTATGACAGCGGGAGCTCGCGCGACGGCTTCGCCATAAACGTGCAGGCTGTTTTGGCAGCGCGTGCCATAGGTGCAGGACATAACCAGCTTTCGCAATTTTGTGTGCTGATCGGCCTGCCAAAATCGATGCATTAGAAGACATTTCATGGTATTGCCAAGAAGCTTCATTGTGCTGCTGTGAAGGCTGTTAGCCAAAACTTGGAAGAAGCATGAAGGATCACAAAGGAAGCCGTCGGCAACGGCGATGTGCCAGTCATGTTGGACGGCACTTCGCAAAAAAGGGGCCATAAAAGCCATAACGGAGTGGGCACAACTGTGTCCCTGGACACAGGTCTTTGCCTCGACTTTGAGATCCTTTCGAATTACTGCCTCGCTTGCAGTATACACAAGGACAGAGGTAGTGATGAAGAAATATGGGAAGCCTTCCACCGCCATGTATGTGAAAAAAACACGGAATGTTCATCCCATGCAATGGAATCTGAAGCAGCAGTGCGCATATGGCAGAGGATATTGTTATGCAATACCCCACTGCACTTCACAAATTTTTTGAGTGATGGCGACAGCAAGGCCTACACTGCTGTCTGTGAGGCAAAGGTGTATGGCAATACTGTCATTGAAAAAGAAGAGGGCACCAACCATGTTTCAAATAGCCTAGGCACCGCTTTGCGAAAAATGGCAACACCACTGCCACAAGGGAAAATCTCAAAGTCACAGCCATTCAGAAGCTGCAGACATATTATCAAATAGCTATAACAAATAAAAAGGGCAGTGTCCGCAGCATGTACAATGCTTTATGGGCCTGCTATTTTCATTCTTGCGCCAGTGATGGAGCTAGTAGCCATAAATTTTGCCCTGCTAGACCAGACTCGTGGTTTAAGCATAGGCATGCTGAAGCACTGAGGGAGCCTACACCAGGCCACATTCCCTTGTTGACTAAAGCAAAGGGCTTGGCAATTATGCCTATTTATAAGTATCTTATACCGGTGTCACACTGGCACTTTTAATTGCGATAAGGGTGATCCAAATGATTTCTCTTGATCGCGATCAACTTTATGACGGCTGCTACACGGCCCAAGCCAATCCGGTTCGAGCTTGGGTGCTTGGGTCAGATCAAATGCCCCAGGTGGCATTTGCGTGCCGTAAAACATGCTACTGACAAAACTCGATGTACGGTATATCTATAGAGCCCTTTATGAACAATGTTATTCGTGCAAGAACTCCTCGAACATCAAGAACTTTGCAGGCCATTGCGATAGTAATTTCATAAATCCATCACACAATAAAGTTTTCCTAGCACTTACCTCAATATCTGTGTGAGATTCTTAACCTTCGCTTTTTTCTGATGGCCCCCGCTCGTAGCCGTGTAGTTGCAGCGAAGCGCCACTCTCGTTGTACGCGCCACTGTTTCACTTCTGGGGCCTCAAGTCTGTTCCAGTTGCTCCTGCCAGCGGTCAATTACACACGCGCATCACGTACGCGCACCACGAAGTGCGCGTACGTTGTGACGTTGTTGATCGGCTTCCGACACTCATAATCACTTTCTTCTTGGTGCTCCAACAGCTCCGACAAAGCGAGAGTTGAATTCAGGAAACGGTCGACTGCTCGTCTGCTTGCCGTCTGCTTCTCCCATAACTACATGTGGTGGATGCGAAGCCTAAAATATGCCATACTTTAAATATAGTTTCAATTTAAACAGTTTAGAATTTTCTTTTTATAAACGCTTAGCTGTTTTAGAGCGTTTTCATCGGACTATGCTCGATTTTCTTGTTTATTGTGCTTTCAACAAGGTCAGCTAAGGGGTGCAGACTGCAGCGAAATCGCGATCTCTCAGGCAGATCGCGATGCGTGGATCGCGATATTCTTGATCCCGATCACACCTGATCGTGATTAAAAGTTACCGTGTAGCAGCACCTAATCTGCATCCTGGTTAATCCGAATACACACTGATCACGATTAAAAGTGCCCGTGTGACACCGGTATTACTTATGAGAGGCTCCTGGCTCAGTGCCTCCATGAAAAGACGCAAAACGCAGCCGAGTCACTCAACAGTAAAATATGTCTGCTGTATCCGAAAACAAAATTTCTAACCCGGACATCTGTGGAGACAGCCACAGCTATTGCCGTGCTGTGTTATAATGAAGGCCATGCTAGCTTTGAGCATGTCCTACAAGAGATTGGAGTACTTCCTCCAGAAGAGTTGGCCACGTACACTGACCGTTGCGATGACCTGCGCATAAAGAAAATGAACTTGAAGCTTACGGCAAAAGCAAGGGCACACCGCCGAAGTGTAGTAAAAAGGGCTCGCACCAAGGAGACCAACCGTAAGAGCTGTGAAGGGCCAAGCTACAGTGCGGGAGGGCTCTGAACACTTTGTGTGCTTTCCGTAAAGTCTGCTATTCAATGTGATCGAAGAATCACATCGTAACAATTTAATTTTTAAGATTACGTGCTTTTGTAACTTTCAAGCCTGTTTTTCTCATTTTCTAATTTTTGGAAACTTGCATGTTTTCCGGGAAAACTTTTGTACACTTAGAATTGGCGCATACTAACGAAATTTGCCGTACATACTCTTGAAGGTATGTAAAGTGCCGATATCTACTTTAAATTGTGCTACCTTTCAGTAGTAGTTACAATAAAACAAGGTTATGTTTCAGGGAACTGAGAGAAACAGTGGTTAAAATGTCATAATTTTTTTAGCACTTTCCAGTAACTGTACACATTTCTTTGCTAGATATCGGCACTCTGTGATCTACAAAGAGCTAAATAAACTATAGCATGATACTGTTTGTGAAAGTTTAGTACATGAAAATGTGCCCTTATAGACAGCTATCATTTGTCATTTAGTATATTATAACTCAATTAGTATATCAGCTACACAAAAACTAATTGCAGATTTGAAGTCTACATGAAGAACTCTCTAATTAGCTGAATTTCAAGTCTAGCACAAATAATAAAAAAAAAAAGTTTTTTCGGGGAGTGTCTCCCCTTAAAATAGGCGGTCAACATCAACTGTGAGAACAAGTACCCTATCGAGAAATTCGTTTCAAGAAAGTGGGTGATATACGAGAAATTATCAGTGAGAAATTGGTTTTTCATGACAACAGCTGAGCTGCTTCATAAAAAAGACTAATCACAATCTACGACATACCTTTTTCACTGACAATCGTCCTGAAAGGATGTTCTGCTTATGCGTCTTGGCCATGAAGAACAGAGAAAGGGCGTTATTCTTGGTAGCTGCAATAGATAGCGCAAGTTCTGCAGGTTTCATGTTTTACAATATCCACTGCCTTGCTTTTTGCTCTCGTTTCACTGGCTTTTATCTTGAGGTTCTTGTTGACTGCCCGTCGTGCCATGAAATTGTACGAATCTGCATCTTTGCCACAAAGCCAGTTTTAAAGCTCTAACAAACGTTTTTGCTTGTACATTGACACAACAGCTGTGAGAGAATCCTTGTGACATAAAATGTAAGATTTTTTCCGGTTCTTGCTAATGTTTCTACGCGTTCTTTTAAGCAACGATGCTTTACTTCCCCATCGGCTTTAATGGCTACTCATCGGCACAATGTCAGTAATTTGCTGCTTGCAAAGATTTTGCGGCTACATTTTGGACCTATGATGATTACACAGTTTATAATTTCTGGAATGGGATCATTTCCTAGTATAACAAGGCCTTCTCGGACGTTACAAAAAGGCTCTTGGGGATTAAACAACATGCTGAAAAATGTTCCCATTCCAGAAAATATATGCTATGTTTTAACAAAGATTCAAAATTTAGCTACGAATCATCTATGATAGCTCTCAAAATACTTGGTATGAACCAGTAAATTGTTGAATAAGGCCATGTGAAAATTGGGGTCGGCTTCATACGAGAGGGCATAAAAGTTCGATAACTGGGAAAGGACCGTCCATTTTATATCGCAGATTTTATGGCATCTGTTGTGGTCCATGAGCAATAATTTTTGGCGCTTCAAATGGATAAAAGCGTTGGCTTTGTGGCAATAGATGCAGATTCGTACAACTTCAAGGCAAAGCAGGAAGTCTGCAAGAACTTTTTTCAGGAAAAAGTCAGCGAGAAAAGAGTAATGTAATGCATTGGCCCTGTGTAAAAACTTGAGCTTGTAAACCTTGCACACTTTATTGCAGCTAGGAAGAAGAGTGCTTTTGTGTGTGCTTCATGATTGTGACGCACAAGCCAAATGTTCCTTTTACGACGATTGTTAGTGAATGAGGTACATAGTAGGATGGGCTTAGTCAGTTTTTATTGAAACAGCTAAGCTCTTTTACCCTAAAAGACCAGTTTAGGACTGAAAATGCTCCCTCTGTCACCCACCTAATTGGACTTTTTGATAGGGTATATACTTGTTCTGGGTTGATGTTGAGGGCCTACTTTATTTTGTCCTGTGCACTGAATCGTTTTTCTGATTAAGAAGCAGCATAGAGGAGAGTGGAAGATTTGCCTTCTGAAGAGGTGCTGCTATGATGTTGAAGCTTTTATGACCCTTGTCAAATTCTTTGAGACAGTCACCTCATCAATTTTAAATTAATGGACATTTTTATGTCCAATCACTAAGCATTTGTATAGGCTCTTGTGTGACTCGTGTTTTTTTGCAATTTGTTCTTATAGTCTATTAACCATGCCTTGTACCAACATTTTAATGGCAGAGGCATTGAAAGATTTCAGATATGCTGATGATCTTTTTTCATTATATAAAAGCAACTAACCACTGCTACTTATCAGCCCATTACAAGTAATCTCTCTGTGTATTTGCTAACTCGGAAGTTAGTGCTCTTAGCACATAAGTTCACAGCTTATAACTCCTTGTGAATTTTTGGATTTGAACATTACCCTATAGAGCTGTCACACCTGCTGGCTTTACTCGCCTGGGTGTGCAAAGGGATTGCTGCCATGTGACTTGTCTTAAAGGGGCACCAAAGCCATCTATTATGTCGACGTTGATTGTTCAAATTGCAGTCCGGAAAGCTGGTAGTGTTACTTTTGTGCCAAGGAAGTGCCTATTTTTTTTTTTAAATTACGTTTTAGTGCTCTGCATCAGGTTAGCACACTTGTTACCCGCGTCAAGAAGCGGACCGACCGGACCATCTCAAGTCACTGTTTCTGGGCACAACGTTGCCCGTCTTTATTGTGCTAGTGGGAGCAGACCAAAAGCAGTGAGAGCTACAGTAGCAACAACGGCCATTGATCGTTTTCTTGCCGTTGGCTTCGAGATTGTAGATGCTTTTGTTTCAACTGCGCCCCGCTGGATGCCACCAGCTGTCCCGTGTAACCACGCGAAAATTGATTTTTTTAACCACTCACATCATTCCATATAGTAAAGTCCGGCAGTTCTTTTTTTCCATGGATCAAACAGACACGAACAAGCAGTATTTCATTGCGTCAGCTGATGTTTGGAAGGTTCTTTATTCAGTGTAGTTAGATCGATTACTAGGGAATAATTGTAGGTGGTCAGTCTTATGTCATGGGGGTCATTTTGAAAATGCCCTACTGTGTCGGTTCTGTTCTTGTGCATTTACCTAAATTTCTCGGTAAGTAGGGCACTGTTTTTGATAATATTGTCGTTTTAGATGTCATACATTGAGCTTTCACTCTGACGTAAATTATTGTTCGACTTTAGTGTCGATTTTAGTATGCACTTGAAAGCTCATGCACAAACCAGGTATGCTGAAGTCTTTTCAAAACCATTTGGATCAGTTATGCATGGCTGCTTTCCCTCTCACACTCAGCAGGAGTTGTGAACCGTGAAGGCTGAGCTTGAGCCTTATTTGCTCTGGGTTGTACACAAGATAAAAAGGTTACAAACAGACATTGCTTGCAGATTGTTTTTCTTAGAAGGGTGGAGGGGGGGGAGATGCCTATTTGTAATGCTGGCATCAGATATTATATTATTATCTTTTGACAGCAACAAACGTGGTTACTGCAAGAAACATGCCATATTTTGCACAAAATGTGCCACAGGTGTTCATGAACCTATGATATTCTGTGGCAAGACATGTCACCCAGATAGGATGGTACGTAAATGAGCACACATAGGAACATCACGCTTTGCTAACGTGTGAAGATGGGGCATATTTGCTGGCTCAGTGCAATCCATGATATTGTGAGCCGCGCCTGCATAAGATACAGATTTCGCCCCACCGCGGTGGTCTAGTGGCTAAGGTACTCGGCTTCTGACCTACGCGTCGTATGATCGAATCTGGGCTGCCGCGGCTGCATTTCCGATGCAGGCGAAAATGCTGTAGGCTAGTCTGCTGAAACCTGGGTGCACGTTAGAGAACCCGAGGTGGTCGAAATTTCCGGAGCCCTCCACTACGACGTGTCTCATAATCATATGGTTGTTTTGGTACATTAAACCCAACATACCTAAGATACAGATTTTCAGTAGAAGGAGAGACACTGCCATTCATACCACTCTTTGTTACTTCATTGTCTCTTTCGCTCATAGAGAGGATGTTCTTGATCACAGGTATTATTAAGTTGGTATGGTCTCGACCTTGCTGCACATGTCTTTGCCTGTATTATGAATAAACAGTTCAATGTTTATGGCCCCCTTAACTACTTGCTTCGTTATTTTTCATGTAAAAAGAGCCATATTTTCGTGGTTTGTACACATTCAATGAATGCAGTTTTCTGAAAGTGTAGAAAAGTGAAATGTGTGGTGATACGCGCCTGGCATATTGAATAGTAGTGGAAGGGCATGTGTGAGCCAGCTGTCAGTTAACATGGCTTAAGAAAAAGTCATGTCCTGAACTGTTCTTTCATGTTAAGCCCCTAATGTGCTGGATCAATAAGTGTTGCCTTGAAGGTATTTGTGTCCACTTTCTTTTCCGCTACTGTATGTCTTCTCATTTATGGCCGTTTGCGTTGATGCCACTCTCTCTTTTGTCTGTGTTTGCATGCCAAAGAAAAATACCAGTGCACTTGCAGTGCTCGGTGTAGCCATACCAGTTCTGATGTCGGAAACCTAAATGAGCACTTATGCTTACTTTATGAGCAATTTCAATTATCTTAGCTAACTTCTGGAACTGAAATCATTGAAAAGCGTTTCATGGTTCAATTGTTATGCCAGGGATTTTTTAATTTTTGGTTAAACTGATTGCAGCTGGTTTAATCTGTGTTATCGCATCATTTTTCAGCAAAAGCAGTTCATTTGTTTATATTCTATTTTGTTATAGCAGGCCTAGAAATGTACTTCAAGCACGCCACATGGGGCCAGCCGTGCGACTTCAAGAAAACTGCTTCATTCTCATCTGCATGCTCCCAAGAAGTTCCTTTATGACCCAAGCCGGCAGGGCGTATGTTAAGCACCACAGCAAAAGGTACAAATAAACACGTCTTTTTTTCCAAGAA